GAGGAGCAGGGGCGGGGACGAGGACGAGAAGCGGGAGCAGGAGTGGGAGAAGGATCAGGAGGGAGGGTGGGAGGGGGGAAAAGTGCCCTTACCTTCCAGGATGGCTAAAAAAATGCACCCGACTTAAACACCTATCCCAGAGCTGGTCGACGTCCTGGTTTTAAGCTGTTTCGTTTAGTTGTTTTGGTTTTTAGGCTTCCAGTGCTAAACATAGCTCTCTGGAAGGTCAGGGTGGAGGCTGGCGTTCCGCGCATGCCCTGGGGCCCAAGCCCCCTCGCGGCGGAGGCCGCAGCGGCCCGCGGAGGGGGCCGCGCGCCCCGCACGCGCGCGGCGCGCCTGACCGCCACGGCGGGGGGGGGAGGGAACGGAGTGGGTACAGTCAAGACGCTGAAATAAGGAACACTTTGGATTCGGAAAGGGCCCGATGTTCCTTACGTTCTTCCGTGGTTGTTCCTCTAGCCCTTCTCGTGCACCCACGTTTTTTTGAAACCGCGGGAGGGGTTCGTTCCTTAGGTTGCGTTCCTTATTTCAGCAGCCCGACTGTAGGAGGAGAAGGAGCAGGAAGAGGAGGAGAGGCAGGAAGAGGAGGAGAAGGAGGAGGAGAAGCAGGAGGATAATCAGTAGGAAGAGGAGGAAGGGGTGGGACGAAACGGAGGAGGAAGAGAAGGGGAGGATGAGGAGGAGGAGGAGGAGGAGGAGGAGGAGGATGGGGGAGGAGGAGGAGGAGGAGGAGGAGGAGGAGGAGGAGGAGGATGAGGAAGGAGGAGGAAGAGGAGGAGGAGGAGGATGAAAGGAGGTAGATGAGACGGAGGCGGAGGAGGAGGACGACGACGAGGAGGGCCGCTGTTTCACGAGCGCGCATCGGGCAAACAAGGCTCGCTCACTAGCAAGCCGTGTGAAAGGAGAAGGGTATGGAGGATGCGGAGGAATAGGGCACGGATGAGGAAGACACGGATGGCGTGGAGGAGACTAAGGACGAGTATGAGATGCGGGATAGGGAGAGGAGCGAAAGGGCTGGAAGGCGAGATAAATAGAGAGATAGAGTGAGGGAGCGAGAGAACGCGAGAAAGCGAGTTAGCGGGAGTACGAGATATATAATAAACGAGAGAGCGAGAGAGAGAGAGAGCGAGATAGAGAGAGAGAGAGAGAGAAAGAGAGAGCGAGAGAGAGAGAGAGAGAGAGAGAGAGAGCCCGAGAGTAAGAGAGTAAGCGGGAGTACGAGAGAGTAAACGAGAGAGAGAGAGAGATAGGGAGAGAGGGGGAGAGCGAACGCAACCCAAAACAAGCATGCAGGACTTAAGAGATAGCGATGGAGAACGGGGGGGGGGGGTAGAGGGGGAACGAACAGTGAGCGGAACGTGGAAGGGAGAGTAACGGTGGGCGGGCAGGCCATGCCGAAGACGCGCAGCTGGGTCGCCGCCCCGAGCCTCGTCGCGAAGAGCCTCGCCGTGCTGATGCTCGAGGGCGACGACATCAGCTACAGCGCTGGGTTCGAGGCCCGACGAGGGGTGGGCTGGCGGTGAAGGGGGACGATGACGATGCTGATGGTGATGGTGATGGTAATGCTGATGATGAGGATGCTGAAGCTGATGATGATGCTGATGCTGATGAGGTGTATGAGGAGGATGAGTGTGAGGGTGGAGAATGAGGATTAGGGGGAGGGGGAGGGGGGGGGGATTAGGATGAGGAGAAGAAACATGAGGTGAAGGAGGTGGAAACGGGTGAGGAGGGGGAGGGAACGGAGGAGGATGCGGCGGATGATGTTAATGATGATGCTGAGGATGACGTTGATGGCCATGATGGTGCTGCTGCTGATGATGATAATGCTGATGCTGATGGCAATGGAGATGATGACGGTGATGATGATGATGATGTTGATGATGCCGATGCTGATACTGATGATGCTGATGCAGATGGCGATGAGGAGGAAGAGGAGGGGGGGAGGGGAATGATGATGATGATGATGCTGATGCTGTGAATAAGATGGTGATGGATGACAATGCTGATGACCTGATGCTGTACGATGATGGGATATGACGGTGGATGAAATGTATATGATGCTGATGTCCTGATGAGATGATAATGAATGAATGACGAGGATGAGGAGGGTCTGAGGAAGGAAAGAGGGGGGGAAGTATGAGGAGGAGGCGGAAGTAGGACAAGGTAGGATGAGGAGGAGAAGAACAAACGGGTTGATATGGGAGGCCGGAAGTGCGAGTAGGAGTGAGGAGGATCGAGGAGGAGAGCGAGGAGGGGGAGGAGGAGGAGAGGAGGGGAGGAGGAGGAGGAGGGAGGAGTACGGGGAGGAATAATCATGATGATGAGGGAACAGCAGGCGGAGGGAGGAGACAGAGAATGAGGAGGAGGAGGGGAGGAGGAGGATGAGGAGACGATCGTGAATTAGGTAAGATGAGGAGGTGGAATGGGGGGCGATAAGAGAAGAGTAGAATGATGAGGGGCGATGCGGAGGAGAATGAGGACGGCGAGTGGGGAGATGAGAGCGGAGGAGGAGGAGGAGTGAGCGCGTGGAGACGATGGCCCCCTTCCTTCCTAGGGAGGGGGGGGATTGGTGGTGCTGACGATGCTGATGACGGATGATGGTGATGCGGCTGGCTGTGTGCTTATATGATGCTGATGATGACATGATGAATTATGATGATTATTCTGATGATGGTGATGTGCTGATGATGGCGGAGAGATGGCGAGAGGAATGATGCGGGAATGAGGAGGGGAAGGAAGACCAGTAGGAGGAGGAGCGGAGGACGAGTAGGAGGAGGAGGGGGGGGGGGAGGAGGAGGAGGCGGAGGGGGGGAGGAGGAGGGGGGGGGGGAGGAGGAGGAGGCGGAGGGGGGCAAGGGGGAAGAGTAGGAGAAGGAGGGCGAGGCGGAAGGAGGAGGAGGAGGATGGAGGCGATAGTAAAATGGACGGCGACGGCGGCGGCGAGGAGGGCGAGGAGGGGGGTGCGGATGAGGCGGAGGAGATGGAGGAGAATGGTGCGCGCCGCCAGGCGCCGCCCAACGTGGGCGAGCTGATGGCCCTCGTCGAGGGCGTGCAGTACCACGGCCAGTACTGCCCGCTGCTCAACGCCTCCTGGAGCACGCCGGTGCAGGGCCTCCTGCGCCGCTACCAGGCCAGCGACGTCGAGGGCAGCGGCGTCGTCGTCGCGAACAAGCCGAGGACGCGAACAACAATGAACACAAACATATAACTACCTTGACATTTCAGGGGACAAGCGCTAGCGCTCCAGATCCATGGGCCTACTTGGACCGCGTGGAGGTTTTAAGCGGCCCAAGTAGGCCCATAGATCTGGAGAGCTAGCGTTTGCTCTCTGGAAGGTCAGGGTAGTTATATGTTTACGTTTGTTCGCGTGCAGAAAGGGCCTTGCGCGAGCGCAAGGCCAAAGCAGAGGTCTGCGCGACCAAGCTGCGCTCGGTGTTCTACCACGTGCGGCGCGAGTGGTACAGGGGCTCGATGCGCAGCTTCATGGCGCACTTCCCGCGCCCCTCGCAGGCGGCCGCCGCCGCGGGTGTCGCGCCGTCGCCCCCGCCGCCGCTGGCGGCCTCGGGCGTCGCGCCGTCGCCCCCGCCGCCGCTGGCGGCCTCGGGCGCCATCGGCGCGGCCTCGGCCTCGGCTGCGCCCAGCGCGAGCAGGCCCCTGCCGGCGCCGTCGGCGCCATCGCGCTTGACGCGGGCGCGTTCGCTGGACCTGGACTCGTTCTTCTCCGAGGAGTTCCCCGAGGACTTCGAGTTTCCCGAGCTGGACGCGGCCCGCCCGATCGCTGCAGCTGCGGTCGACTTCGAGGACGACGGCGGCGACAACAGGGAGTGCGAGGCCGAGTACCGCGTCTTCGCCACGGGCGGCGCGGCGAGGAGGCGGCCGTGGATCTGCGGCGAGGCCGCTGGCGAGGTCGAGCCAGCCATCTCAGCGAAGGCTCCGCGCGAGGTCGGCGCCGTGTGCATGGCCGAGTTCCTCGACGGCACCGTCTCCGACATCCTTGGCTGGGTGTTCGCGGGCGGCAGCGCGGCCCTTGGCTCCGAGGGCGCCGCCGCTGGCGGCGACGAGAGCGGCGGAGCTGCGCGGAGGGGAGGGGGAGGGCGAAGACTGCCGAGGACTTCGCCGCCGCGACGTGCAAGCCGAAGCCAGCCGCAGCAGCAAAGGGCCGCGCGAAGGCAGCGCCAAAGACGCAGGTGCATGATGACGAGGATGGCGCTGATGAGGAAGAGGATGAGACAGAAGATGAGGAGGAGGAAGAAGAAGGAGGCGCTGGCGGCGACGCTGAGGAAGAAGACGAGGAGGGAGACGGCTGGGACGACGACGACTTCGACATGGAGGACGAGGAAGGCGAGGAAGAGGAGCAGCTTGCACATGATGCGCCAGACGAAGCTGAGGATCTGGCAGAGCCCGCTGCGTCACAAAGCTAGTGGGCCCTCCCGCCATTCCCTCCTCCCCGCCCTCCCTGACCACGCATTCGCCCTACCACGGTGCTACCGCACCCAGCCCTCGACCCTTCACCTCACCTCCACCCTCCACCCTCGCTTCCACCCTCCGCCCTCCACCCTCCACCCTCACCTCCACCCCCCACCCTGCACGCTCGCCCTCGCCCTCCACGCTCGCCTCCACCCTCCAGCCCTCCCCCCTCCATCCCCCGCCCTCACCTCCTACCCTCTGTCCATCACCATCATCATCATTATCATCATCATCATCATCGTCATCATCATCATCATCATCAGCATCATCATCATCATCATCAGCATCAGCATCATCATCATCATCATCAGCATCAGCATCAGCATCAGCATCATCATCATCATCATCACCATCATCATCATCATCATCATCAGCATCATCATCATCATCATCATCATCAGCATCAGCATCAGCATCAGCCTCAGCATCATCATCAGCATCAACATCAACATCATCATCCTCACCATCATCATCATCAGCATCATCATCATCATCATCATCAGCATCATCATCATCCCTCTCTCCCGCGCTACCCGCGTCCACCATCCGCCCCGCAGGCTGTGTACGAGATGGCGCAGCGCCGCCAGGAGAATCAGGAGGCGAAGGCCATGGCCAAGACCTCCGCGAGGATGAAGCGCCCTGCGGGTGCGACGACGACGGGGAGCCACGAGCGGGCCGCCAAGGCGCGCAAGGCCGCGAGGTCGGAGGAGGGAGGCGGCCCATGGCAGGGCGCTGCTGGGCCAGACGGGTCGGCGCCGAGCCTGCAGCCAGGTGCAACGTGCGTGATGGGGCAGCTGGAGGCCACGCAGTACAACGGCAAGGTGTGCGAGCTCGTGAAGCAGAGCAAAGGCGCCGACGGATCGCTCAAGTGGGTGGTGACGTGCTGGGAGAACCTCGAGGTCGTCAAAGTCAGCCCCGATAAGCTGACCGTCGTGGACCCCAAGGACCGCGCGCAGAGGAAGACAAGGAGGAGGAGGAGGAGGAGGAGGAGGAGGAGGAGCAGGAGGAGGAGCAGGAGGAGGAGGAGGAGGAGAAGGAGGATGAGGAGGAGGAGGAGGAGGAGGCGAGGTGGGGGGGTGGCTGGGAGGAGGCGCGGGAGCTGGGGGACGGAGGTGCGAGAGAAGCTGGGCACGAGGGCAGACTGGAGAGGAAGAACGGCGGGTGGGTGGCAGGAGAGAGTCGGAGGAGGGAGGAGGGCCCCCCCCCCGCACGTCCTCCCATCCCGCACCCCTCCGCTGACAGGACTTCCTGTGCGAGCTGAAGCACGTGTTCACGACCAAGGACAAGCGCTGCGTCAAGTTCCAGGCGACCTCAGAGGGCAACCGCAACCCTGTCGTCAGGATGCACGCCGACGGCGGGCGCGTCTCGCTCGGCACCGTGTCGTTCGGCGGCATGTCCCCGATCACCGTCTGGAGGGGCGCCATGATGATCGCGCAGGAGATCGAGGACGGCACGCTGCAATGCAACAAGGATGACATCACGGTCCGCAAGGCACCGACGGTTGACGGACGGGGGCGGTGGAAGGAGGGTGGATCACGCATTCGACGGCATGCCACGTGGAGGAGCCATGGTGGCATGGAAGGGCGCATCGGCCCGCGGAGGGGCGGCGGAGGGAGGAGAGGCACTGAGGGCGGAGGACGGAGTGCGGAGGGAGGATGGAGCGCAGAGGAGGGGGTGACGAATGGAAAGGTGGACGAACATGGAGCAGAGCCCTCCTCCCGACCCCTCGCGCACCAACCCGTTGCCAGGCAGACATCGCGACGGGCCTCGAGATCAGGATGCAGCCGAGGGCCGAGACGTAGACGCCTCCAGGCGAGCTCGTGCCGCGCTCCCTTGATGTGCAATCACATCTCGCTCTATGCATCCACCCCTCTCTCTCACCCTCCCTTCCTCTCTCTCTCTCTCTCTATATATACCCTGACCTTCCAGAAGGGCTAAACAATAGCACCCGACCTAACAACCTATCCCAGAGCTGTTCTACGTCTTGGTGTTAGACCGTCTCGTTTCGTTATGTAGGCGTTTAGGCCTCCAGTGCCAAAAAATAGCCCTCTGGGAGGTCAGGGTATGTATATACACAGATGAGCTCATCAATCCAATACATGGTCCCCACATTCGTTATACTGTTGCCACACAGCATATCGCGGTGGTATGTGTATATATGCGTGTAGGTCCGTGGCTCTGCCCATGCCCCTGTATATGTATATGTCTCTAACGATACACACGCATATATATATGCATACACCTAAGTATGGCACCATCTGTTTATGGATCTGGCTCACCCTCCCATCCGCCCTTCCCTCGTTCTCTCCACTCAGCCGCTCGCTGCTGGGCGGATGTGAGCGAGGCGGCGGGGTGGATGGAGAGGAGTGGCGGGGGTAATGTCAGTGGGCGAAGGCCTGCCGCGGAGCTGCAGGCGGCGGCGTCGGCAGGGGCCAGCCTGCGCGGCTCGGGCAGGGGCGGCTGGTCGAGGCCCCCCGAAGTGTGGGTAAGGGTCCACACCTACCTGGTCCTCCACCAGGTCTGGTACCAGACCTCCCCTGGTCCTCCACCAGACCTCCCAGGAGGCCCTCCGGCGAGGTAGGGGAGGCCTCCACCAGACCTCCCCTGGTCCTCCACCAGACCTCCCCCAGGCCTGGTGGAGGACCAGGGGAGGCCTCCAGGAGGCCTCCCCTGGTCCTCCACCAGGTCTGGGGGGAGGCCTCCGCCAGACCTCCCCCAGGTCTGGGGTCGCGGCCGTCGGAGGAGGGCTCGTGGACGACGGAGGTCTCCGGGAGGACCAGGGGAGGTCTCCGGCAGGCCTCCCCTGGTCCTCCCCCAGGCCTGGGGGAGGCCTCCGGGAGGTCTGGGGGAGGCCTCCCGGAGACCTCCCCCCAGGCTGGGGGAGGCCTCTGGGAGGCCTGGGGGAAGCCTCCACCAGATCTCCCCCCCCGGACCTCCCCCCAGGCTGGGGGGAGGCCTCCCCCAGGCCTGCCCCAGACCTCCTGGAGGCCTCCCTGGGAGGCCTCCCCCCAGCCTTGGGGGAGGTCTCCGGGAGGCCCCCCCGCAGGCTAGGGGGAGGCCTCCGGGAGGCGCCTCTCAGGCTGGGGGGAGGCCTCTTCCATCGGTTCCTCGTCCACTCCCTCCTACCCCTTGGATCCGGACGGGTCGGCAGGAAGGAAGGGGGGGACGGCTTTGGGCTCTCTGGAGGTGTCCGCAGAAAGCGCCGCCGCTCGAGACGTCCTCACAACTCGGGCACTGTCGCTCGAGACTTCCTAAACCCTAAACCCTAAACCCTAAACCCTAAACCCTAAACCCTAAACCCTAAACCCTAAGGGCCCCTGAAGCACGGCGGACTGTCTGGGGCCCCGGGAGGCCCCCGCAAAGGGGAGCAGATCTGGTGTTCTGAAGGCTCAAGGGCCCCTTACATACAGCGGGCTGTCTTGGCCTCCGGGAGCCCCCCCGAAGGAGGAGCAGATCCGCTGCACTTAAGGGCCCCTTAAGTGCAGCGGGCTGTCTTGGCCTCCGGGGGCCCCCCCGAAGGAGGAGCAGATCCGCTGCACTTAAGGGCCCCTTAAGTGCAGCGGGCTGTCTTGGCCTCCGGGAGCCCCCCCCCCCCAAAGGAGGAGCAGACCCGCTGCTGCACTTAAGGGCCCCTTAAGTGCAGCGGGCTGTCTTGGCCTCCGGGAGCCCCCCCGAAAGAGGAGCAGATCCGCTGCACTCAAGGGCCCCTTAAGTGCAGCGGGCTGTCTTGGCCTCCGGGAGCCCCCCCGAAGGAGGAGCAGATCCGCTGCACTTAAGAGCCCCTGAAGTACAGCGGGCTGCCTTGGCCTCCGGGAGCCCCCCCGAAGGAGGAGCAGATCCGCTGCACTTAAGGGCCCCTTAAGTGCAGCGGGCTGTCTTGGCCTCCGGGAGCCCCTCCGAAGGAGGAGCAGATCCGCTGCACTTAAGGGCCCCTTAAGTGCAGCGGGCTGTCTTGGCCTCCGGCAGCCCCCTAAACCCTAAACCCCAAACCCTAAACCCTAAACCCTAAACCCTAAACCCTAAACCCTAAACCCTAAACCCTAAACCCTAAACCCTAAACCCTAAACCCTAAACCCTAAACCCTAAACCCTAAACCCTAAACCCTAAACCCTAAGCCCTAAACCCTAAACCCTAAACCCTAAACCCTAAACCCTAAACCCTAAGCCCTAAACCCTAAACCCTAAACCCTATTCCCGTATTGACCACCCTCATGTTCGGTCGACCTCAACACCTTCCCCGTCTCGTTCCCTCTCCTCCTGCACTCCGTCTACGCTCCCCCTGCACTCCTTCGATCCGCCTGCACTCCTGCTTACCGCCCCCTCCGTCAGTCGTTCCCCGTCCGCCACGTGCCTCGCTTCATTCGCCCATCCACGCGCAGTCATACTCTTCCTGTGTCCAGTCCTGCATCGTATACCCGTAGCCTCGCGCGCTGGCGCCAGGCCGACTCCAGCGACGCGCAGGGCGTGGAGCTGCGCGCTGGCCACATCGCAGCCCCGAGGCCTCTTGCCGCTGGGGGGGGGGGCGGTCGGGGGTCTGGCGAGCGTGGCAGTACCCTCTCGTTCCCCCTCCTCCCCCCCTTTGGAATTCGGAGGTGTTTTACAAAAAAAGCACATCCGAATTCCAAGGAAGACCTTTCCTCCTCCTCCTCCTCCTCCTCCTCCTCCTCCTCCTCCTCCTCCTCATCCTCATCCTCCTGCTCCTCCTCCTCCTCCTCCCCTTCGCTATCGCCCCTCCCATGCCTCAATCGTCTTCCTCACCCATCTCCCTCACGCTCACCTTTCGCGATGTCACCCCCACCCCACCTCTCTCATCCTCAACTCTCACCCGCCCGTCTCCCCGCCGCCGCTGCCGCCCCCTCTCGTTGCTTGCTGGGGGGGGGGCGCTCCACCACCCCGCCTCCCGCTTCCCTCCGACGCCAGGCGATGCTGCTCGCGCTGATGTACGGCGGCGCACGGCAGCCGACCGCGCGGCGGCGGCGGCGGCGGGGTCGGTGGCGGGCGCTGTCCGAGCGAGAGAGACTGTCATCCCCGCAGGTGCGCGCCGAATCTTATGCAGCCCACGTTCGCGATCGCAGTTGGCTCGGAGATGTTACAGATTGGTTCGGCGCCCGCGGTCGTTGCAGCGGCCGCCTCACTCGCAATTAATCATGCGGCTCCGTCGCAGTGACTCGATGCGCGACGCGCAAAACAGCGATGGAGCTGGGTCGAGGGGAGACGGCGCTGACGCGGCACAGTCAACCCGCATAGTAAGGATGCGCGATAAGGATGCAAGGGCCTTGGACGCCAAGTTCGAAGCTTTTCGAGCGGGGCACAGCCAACGAAACTGGCCAATGATGGGCCGAGAAGGCAAGGATGCAAGTGTACCATTGGAATGCTGCCCATCCTTACTATGCGGGTTGACTGTGCCCGACATGTGCCGTGCCCAACCCCGACCACAAGCGTGGCAACTTTCAGAGAGGTTGTGGTAGTGTGTGTTCGTTGCTGGCAGAGGCGTTCGCCCGTCTGTCCTGCGAGCGCCATGGGAGGTCGTCGCACCTTGTGATTGCACACCATGGTATGTGATTGCAGTTGATTGCATTTGATTGCATCTGATTGCATCTGATTGCATCTGACTGCATTTGATTGCATTTGATTGCATTTGATTGCATCTGATTGCATCTGATTGCATCTGATTGCATCTGATTGCATCTGATTGCATTTGATTGCATTCCCTGGCAGACCACAGGGGGACTCAGTCTGGCGCCGCCCGACCGCCCTGGCAATGCGGCTGCGCCTCGCCGCCAGTGCTAGGGAGAGGGATGCGTCGCATGAGGTGACGCGGGCGATGATGATGACGCGGGCGAGGGTGATCACGGGGGTGAATGTTCAAGGGGATCTCGAGAGGAGGGGGGAATTGGATAGGGGAGATATCGGCCCGCGCAATTATTGTCCACGAGTCCTCGAACACGTTTGGAAAAGAACGGGGAATATCAAACTTCACTTTTTTTCAAACGACCGAAACGGTGATGACGACTACCGGGTACCATGGACGTTTCGCGCCTGCCATGCCGGGTACCTGGACGTTTCGCGCCCGCATCTGCCTTGGCTTCCCCTCGCAGTGCTTGCACTCATGGCCCCATGAGGCCGCCTTAGAGGCTTGCTAGCTGGGCCACGAGAGCCACGCTGTTATGAGGACGCATGCGGCGCAGAAAGGACTTGCGACACCAACCGCCTCCCACCATTCTCCTCCCCCTCTCCTCCTCCGCGCCAAGGTCCACCATCTGTCTGATTTTCTAGCGGCCGCTTCGTGCAGTGAGTTTGGGCACCCTTCCCAATGATACCCTTACGTCCTTGCCTCCTCGGTCCATCCTTTGCCACTTTCGCTGTCCGTGCCCCGCTCGAAAAACTCTGAAGTGGCCGTCCGAGGCCCTTGCATCCTTATCTCGCATCCTTACTCTACGGGTTGACTGTAGTTCGTGGCCGCCTCGGGACGAGAGATCTTCTACCCCGCTCCTGTCGCGCTTCCCAGCGCTGCTGCCGCAGCAGCTGTCTGTAGTAGGCCGTTTTGGCTCGTTCGTCAGGGTTCGCGCTCCATCGCTCTGCGACATCTCGCTGGCTGCAGCGGCCAGCACTCCAGCAGCTCCCCTGACCTTCCAGAGAGCTATTTTTTAGCACGGGAGGCTTAAAACACTGTAAAAAAACGAAACGATTCACCCTAAAACCAATATGTAGAATAGCTCTGGGATATGTGTTTAAGTCGCGTGCTTTTTTTTAGCCCTCCTGGAAGGTCAGGGTCGCGCGCCGAGATGGCGGCTGAGGAGCCCGCGCAGAAGAAGGCCAAGCGCGGCTTCACTGACAACGACAAGGACAGGCAGGATTTCATGCGCACGTGCAGCGCGGAGGAGAAGCAGGCATACATGGCCCTGAAAGGGAAGGCGAAGACGTTGTTCAGGCAGCAGTGGCAGGCCACGAAGCTCTCCAACTTGAAGGGCACCGCAGCCGTCCAGGAGCGCGACCGCGATTCGGACGTCACGGAGTCCTGGTACATGAACTGGACCAACCTCGTCATCGCTCGCGGCGGCTTGCTCGACAAGGCGGCGGCGGAGAAATCAGCTGGCATCATTGCCAAAAAATGTATATCATCTGGTGCACCGTACATCATGTACAACAAATGGGCGGAAGAGTTGGAATTTCTCAACGTGAGGAAGGGGACCGCCCAGTCGTTCACAACGGACAGGGTTCGCAGCATGGAGGGGGAGTTCGAAGTGGACGAGGGGGCGATGGAGGAGGCTAAGCGCAAAGGATTGGTGAGTGAGGTGCCAGAGGACGTGAAGGCGCAGGCGTTGGCCGCGGCCGAGGGGCGCCTTCCCGTGGCAGAGCCTTCGGCCGCCGCCGCCGCCGCAGCGCCTTCTCAGGCGGCTGCCCAGGCGCCTGCCCCGAGCCCCACGCCAGTGCGAGGAGACAAGGCCATCGTGATCGATGAGCCGCCGAGCCCAACGCCCTCGACGCCCGCGGCCCACGCCCGAGCATCGGTGCCCACGCCTGTGAAAGCGCCCGCGCCCGTGCAGCTTCCAACGGGTGACCCAGCGGCGTTGGCGCTCCACGTCCTCAGAGGCTTGCTCTTCGCAGGCGGCAGCTCCGACCTCGACAAGGTGTCAGCACCCGCCGATTGGCGGCCCGCGGCTGGCGCCCATGCCGAGGGCTCGACCGCCGAGGCCGCCGCGGCGACCGACGTGGCCACCAAGGTCCAGCCTGTCGATCCGCCGAAGCCGAAGTCGGAGAAGCCTCCGCATCAGAAGCTGCGCATGGAGGTATTCGCCGAGGCGTCGCGGCTGAAGGGCATGGTGAGCAAGGCGCAGTCGATCGTGGAGCAGGCGGCCGACCCGTCGTCGGACTACCATTGGGCGAAGGACGAGGTCGGTCCCCTGAAGAACCTCGTCAACCCTGAGACGGGGACCATTGCCATCGCGACGAAGGCCGTGGAGGCGAGCATCTTGTTGAAGTCGTTTTCGAAGTTGATGGTGGACCTCGGCGGCGACGCGTCCAAGGCGATGGAGTTCTTGACGAAGAAACGCCAAGATATCAAGGTTGACGTCGAACACTTGACTACGGTACTGATCCCCATCACGAGGATGCACGAGTCCAAGTTCAAGCCCGTCGATGTCGTCAAGAAGCCGACCGCCTCCAAGCAGACTGCAGCAGCCAAGAGGGCTGCCGCCAGGGCTGCGGCCGCGGCATCGGCGCCAGCGGCCGCGTGAGGCCCACGCTGCGCGACCATGATGCGGGCGCACGTTGCTGCGCAGAGCCCGCTACCGCCAGCCACAGAGGGCTGGCACTCACACGTCAGCTGCATGAGTTCACATGCCATCGAATCCAGGGGATCGTGCACCCCACCAGTAGCAGTATTCCTCATCCTCCATCTCCTGTCCTCCATACATCCACACCTCCACCTCCTGGCCACATCGCCCCTCTCCCCCTCATACCGCCTCTCCCCGCTATACTGCGCGCGCCTGTCCGCTCGGCCGTCGTGGTGCTGCGCGGGGCCGAGCGCAGTGCACGGAACCAGCCGAGCTCTTGCATTTCCTGACAGACATGGGTCACGGGGTACACCAGTGTCAACACTGGTGACTTGAGATCAACACCAGCAAGTGCCAACTACCGAGAAGAGAAACGCATGTGTGCACCGACGGGCGTGTGTGCATATGTAAGCAGGCGTGCGTGTACATAAAAACACACACACACCTGTGTGCAGATATAGATACATATAGATACATGTGTGTGCATAGGATTACAAGTATAGCGGCATACCGTTTGCTCCAGGACAAATAACGGGATAAAGAGAGATAGAGCGAGAGGGAAACATGCACGGGAGCTGTGCGCTCATACATATATATCTATATGTATGCGTATGCACATATGTACATATGTTCGCATACTGGTGCCTATGTATATAGGGCGGGAGAGGGATACCTACAGATGGAGCGCGAGAGAGAGAGGGGGAGAGACATAGGGAGAACGAGAGGGAGAGAGAGAGAGAGAGAGAGAGAGAGCGCGATAAAGATAGCGAGAGACATGGAAGCATACCGATCACCCACTGCCCGCGCCTCGGGCACATGACGGCCGACGGCGCCCACCGCGGCTGAGCACAGGGATCGCTCAGGCGCTGGGCTTGGGCCAGATGTCCAGCGAACGAGATCGCGTCACTGGCGGCTGAGCGCAGGGGGGCAGATGGCCAGATGGCCAGCTGACTCGAACCTCTGGGGCCCTCGACCCCATCGGGCGACGCCCTGGCCCCGCGTGGAGCCTTAAGCCACACCGAGCATCAGCCTGCCACAGTCAACCCGCATATAGTAAAGATGGGCATCATTCCCACGGGTACCCTTGCATCCTTGTCTTCTCGGCCCATCCTTGGCCAATTTCGTTGGCTGCGCCCCGCTCGAAAAGCTTCGAACTGGGTGCCCAGGGCCCTTGCATCCTCACCGCGCATCCTTACTACGCGGGTTGACTGTAACTGCGCATCAGAGGTTCGACGTCTGAAGACGCCGAACCTCTGATGCGCAGTTACATGGTTCTCTGGCGGCCCTCGTCGGCGCGGCTGGGCGCGGTTCGACACGCTGGCCAGGGCATGCCCAATGCGCACCCAGTCGCCACCACCACCACCGCAACCAACACCGCCACCACCACCGCCACCGCCACCGCCACCGCCACCGCCACTGCCACCGCCACCGCCACCACCACCACCACCACCACCACCACCACCACCACCACCACCACCACCACCACCACCACCAACAACCTACCACCTACCACACCACCTACCACCTACCACCTACCACCTACCACTACTTACCACCTACCCCTCCACCAACCACCACCACCGCCACCAACCACCTACCACCACCACACCCACCACCCACCACCACCCCCACCACCACCACCACCACCACCCCACCACCACCACCACCACCACCACCACCACCACCACACCACCACCACCACCACCACACCACCACCACCACCACCACTACACCTACCACCTACCACCTACCACCTACCACCACCACCACCACCACCACCACCACCACCACCACCACCACCACCACCACCACCCCACCACCACCACTACCTACCACCACCTACCACCACCTACCACCACCTACCACCACCACCACCACCACCACCACCACCACCACCCGACATCTCCGTATCGATCACTGCTCGAGTGGCCCCCCCACGTACGCAGCATGCGAGCTGCGAGGGCGCGCGCGCATGCGCCAGCCGAGGGCGGCGGGGGTGACGGCGGCGCCGCAGGCAGCTGCGGGTTCAACCGACCACGCCCGAGGATGTGGAGGGGCGGCGAGGTGGGCGATGAGGAGGGCTGGGACGACGAGGCGATGCAGAGTTAAGATGCTGATTCCGATGAGGCCGACTAGGGTTGGGATGATCATGCGGGCGACGAGGCCAGCTCTGGGGAGATTGGGGGAGGACGAGGTTGCCCCCTGACCTTCCAGGAGGGCTAAAGCATAGCACCCGACTTGAAAAAAACACGATCCCA